GCATCCCAACGGCACCCCAAATCTCCTTTCACTGGCTATGACTCCCACAGAACGATCTTGGAAACAGGCAACAGCCGGAGCACGTCGCGTCTCGATTGTACATCTCTTCGAGACTTAAGAACTTCATCGTATACCCAATGAACATAACAGCCGGAGCACGTTTCTCTTCGAAAACTCAAAACTCCAACACGGAACTGCTTTTCAACCGGCAAGCCGAGACCAATCGTCAGGCAAGCACACGCCGGAAGATTCGACCATGGATTGGCGCAACCAAACTTCCGTTCAACAAGAACATTGAACACCGATCGTTGCATATCGAGGTACATCTAACAGCACGCTCGTCAGTGGACCAAATACTGCCTCTCGCTCAGCCGGCAAGGTCCACAAGCATGCACGAAGTCCACAATCCTACTGCCTCTCACACCAACAATCCGGTCTCAGCAGTTTCAACACCCGTTCCACCTCTACCCAAAACCCTGTTTCTCTAAGGCCGAAAATCTACCTTCCCCTCTCGGCTGGCCGACTATGTACAGTCCTTAAATCGAGCGTTTTCTTTCTCCTTTTAGGTTCCAACAAACGCTCTAGGGGGGAGTAATGTGGGACACGTCATCGCATGCGCGTACACATTGGCTTGAGGTGCGCCCGTACAACTTCGCGTACTGATTGAGGACAAGAGCATTTAAATCTCCTTAATCAGCGAGAGTTGATAAAGTAAGTGAAAAATCAGCTTCATTCGTACATCTTCAAGAGATCAATATATTTAGCACACGATTTCAACTTAAAGATCATAAACAGAGGTAACTACAGGATGCCGCTCCTTCTTTTTCCTCTCCTACAATACTCATACCAATGTACCTAAAAGTTTCAACTGTGTTATCGAAACAGCTACAGTAGCTTTGCAATGTCTTTTATCCTAATATCATTTTAAGTACGTCGATTTAAAATAAAGTAAAAAAAAGGTTTGCAAAAACATTATCTTCAAATTTCAATACCAATTACCACTCCCACGCTTTAAATCACTCCGCAACATTGTGAGTGAAGATAATAATGATAGGCCAGTTTCTTAATAATTAAGTCAAAATTGCGCCTAACCTACGGGTTATTGTAAGAAATAAAAAATGCAAAATTATCAACAGGCTATTGAGTACTGAGCTCTTTAATATTAAATGCCATTTTCGTTCTTTTTCAAAAGCAAAATGAGAGGTTATTAGAGAGTCTCTTGTTATGATGACATATAATGCAGGTCACATCTATCACATTAAAGGTGACTTACTAGCAGAAAAATCATGCCACTCTCTACTAATTTCGCCACATCGCTTATAGTAAAACGTCCCTAAACTACTTAGTTATGAATAATCAAAAGCTAACTTTAGTTCTTCGGGTAATGACGGCTCCCAGGAATTCGGCCATCAAGTTATTTCAATAAACATATCAATGAGCAATGGAATGCGAAGCTTTGGTTATTTAACATAATTAAAGTTAAATAGGTTTGACAATCAGATTTGAATACCTCAAGCATGATTTCAATAAGTATCCCATGTGTCAAATTCTCAAGATCGAAATTCCAAACTAGTTGGGTGATATATAAAGAGAAGTTGGTCAACTTGATTAACTGAAAGGTCAAATGACGAAAGACTCTTACGATATTTCCAGCTTCCACCTTTAATTCCCCACAGCACTTTCACTATTCCTTTATCTTTGAAGTTTGCTTTGTCTTTGGCTCTCGATAATATATAAATGGGTAACCTAATCGATTTTACGAAAGAACGACGTATGCAATTTACGATGATCACATTTTACTCATGCATATTCAAGAATTTATGTTAAATCGCTATCAACTCTTGGTTAATTCTGAGGCTCTATTTATTAAGGTAGACAATATTTTTGCTTAATTGCGCGATTTGCAACTAACTATTGACGATTATTCAAATTATGTGGACAATTTGATTGTGTTTAGTGAGCCAATAGAAGGAGCAGCATTAGTGAAACTGGAACCCTTTAATTTTCAACACAGTCTCTATCTGAACTAAATGTTAGACTTATAAGGTCTATTTAAAGCCACTGAATCAAGCAACTGTTAAGAGGTTCTATTGCATGACTTTAAGAGTTTGTGGATATACATATATGTATAACTTATCATATTTACTTAATCATAGGAGGCCACTTTGGGTAATTCTTAAGGAATTTAGACGGAATGAGTGAAAATACACAAGAGCTTATTTAATTAAGTAAACTGTTCAAAAGCTCTGAATTATTTGAAATATCAACTCATCGAAAAAATTGGAAGCCAAATGATGAGATTTGGGATATTGGGATATCATAAAACGTACGTATTAAAAGCAGGTCACCTGGCGTCATATTCAAATAGAGTTGCGATCTTAACAGAACTACCTTTGTCCCTATTCGGGCGTTCAAATGTCATCTAATGTTTAAAAATTATTTATATTTAGCATGGTCTTGGATGTTAATAATAATTCGCCTTGTGTGCATTTGGCAAACCTGCGGTAAGGTCTGCGGCATGGTAGACTAGGATTGAGATCCTCTCAAGCGCATTAAACCACAATAAGGTCTGCTTTCTTAAAATGTTTCAAATTATTGCAACTATCTGGTCCTTTGTATTAAGAAGAGATTTCTATATTGAGGTGAACCAAGTAACTTACTTGTAACACCATGGTAATCAACCTAGAAAGGGGGAATATGAAGCTATAAATGCATTCTTTAAGTTAAGTTATTAACATGATTAATCCTCTATTTAAATGGGGTTAGATACGATAGTTTTCAATTCTTATTGATCACTTTCTAACCTTCAGTTCGCCATTGTAAATTGCGCAAGATTTAAAGACTCCTACTGATTAGAAATTGACTATTTAGCTTATCTGTGATGGTTTGCACGAAGTATTTTCAATTAAGTCATTGTGGGTGAACTGCAAAACTGTGCAGTTTCGACATGCTTCACAAAAGTATTTTTAGACCAAGATTAATTTAAATCCCTTTGATGATTAAATGTTCTTGCACTTGCTTGAACCGTTTTAACTTGCCTCAGTCGAAAAAATATAGATTATCTAGTGTAGTCGCCTCTTTTGCGATAACTTAGATTTCACCTGTAAGATCAAGCTATGCGTAGGTTAAAATAATGTCAGTGTAGACGACCGATTCATGTGCTCTTCCAACATTCCTACACTCTTCATCTAACTCAATTGCTACTCTTAAGAATAAATCCTAATTCACTCTCGACTCAGTTTCCTGCATCACCGGCGGTATTTATACACGTTTATTTCGAACAATGGGATCGAAATATTGAGCTGCTTTCACAAAAAATTCCATTCTACCTTTCGTTTCTTCACCAGTCTTAAACAGAATGGCACCAATACGTCTCGAAGCATTTCAAACTCTTGAACTCTACACTGGTAATTATGAACATTCAAAAGGTACTACTGCTGAAATGTGGTAATTGTTTAATTAATAGCTTAAAAGCACAGAACCAACCAATGAAAGGAAGTCTTATTTCTTTATTTGTATCCTGCAAATAGATCTAATTGATTGGGTAGGTTAACACTTGCCTTACTTAAAAGGACAGTCTGTTATTTTGTGGTTACTATCAAGATTTAGCGTAGAAAATTGATTTGAATGCTCCATAATAAAAGGTGTAAAGTGAAAACATGTTGAGTGTTTCTGCAGATAGATAACAGAAGAAAGAATAACAATAGCATGACTTTATGAAATTCAAATAAACGTCAAAAAACAGCCGTTAAGATAGTGGTAAAAAATGTAGCTTGTGCATAAGGCGAGAGTGAGCACTGACCCTCAATGCCTTGGAAGATTATTTAAAACCTTTACTTAATTTTGCTCGTAAATTATTCATAAAAGAGGCCAAAATTAATCACCAAAGGAGCATAAAATATGTGACCAGTGAAGATATAAATGGTTTTATCTTCATAAATAATATTTCGAGAATAATTTCACGTAGGAATTTAAACTGGAATATCTCACTCTATATACCGAATCAAACGTACCTTTCGTAACTGATTCTTGTTCAGTGGTATTCTTGTTTACTGGAATTGAGGAATCCAGAGCAGTGTCCCCTTGAGCTGTGGGATTCGGCACCAAACTTTCAAGTTGATCTGCTATGTTGCTGGCATAGAAGCTCTCTAAGGAATTGGCCCTAAATGGAAAATTAAAAAATAGTTGCCAGTCTTGAACCACGCTTATTAGGACAAAAAAGCATGACAACATTTCTCTACAATGCCTTGAACTAAACGATAATTTACTTGTTGTAAAAATTGAGTATCTGTCTTCAAAATTCAGTAAGGTCAAAGAGAAGAAAAAGTAAATCTAATTTCTAAATCTCTTAAATCGAATTGAAAGCTGAAATAATTCGAAACAAGTTGGCTATTTTCAGGTATTAGAGAATATCGTGATCTCCAAAATAAATATTTTTCTTCAATGGACCAGCATGTTCTATATTCATAGTCTTTTTGACGGACTCGATAATTGCATGGGATTTACTGGATCTTGGCTGATATTGACGAACTGTAAACTAATCAATATAACTCAACCTCAAGTAAATAACTGATTTCCACACAATTTCTTTAGTTATATGCAAAAAGTTTAACAAGTTATTACATAAAGTAGAAGAAGAATCCGCGTGAGTGTTTTAATTGATGAATAGATGCAACTTAAGATTGGAAGACATATCAAAATGACTAGCTTATAGTGAGTGAAGTATGAATATAGTGCTATGAAAAAAACTAAAGGATGATTTCTCCCAAAAAATTTGGAATATTTAAAACTATAATTTAAGGCCAACTACTGCGCATTTAATTTCGGGATTCATTCTGATCTATTTAAGTTATTGAAAACTGATTAATAGAACATAGGGAACGACTTTTTAAGTTTAGAATTCTTTTGCAGCCTAAAATTATTGCTATTTGATTTTAGTGATCTTTAAATATGCTTGTTCTTCTTATTTGTTTTCTTTTGAATAGCAAATAATTTACACCCCTTAACAAAACTTAGTATATAGGCTGCCTAAAGGCATAAAAGCTTGTTTAAATTGGTCGCAATATTAAAATAAACTATAAACCGCCCTCAGCCACAGACTCTACAACACGAATTCTCTATCGAAGATAATAGTCGAAAAATACATATCACAATGCTTAGGATCCCTGTTGTATACCCATAAATGATGTACAGTGGTACACATATAATGATTAGAATGTTTAATCACCCAAATTAGAAATTGGGAATCTCATAACAAGAATGACGGTTAGAATGCAAAATGGCCTAGAGTATCTTTCTTCTGGAAAAAGCATGAGTTTTACAACACTTCTATCAAACCGATTGAAATGCGTTGTGCGCATTGTTTATAAAATCTTCCTATAGGTTTAGAATTCTTGTATATATCGAGAAGATTATGAAAAATAACTAGAAATGTGTTGATAGGGTGCCGTCAAACCAGAGCTCATGACTTTATGACGCTTTCTTCTAGGAACATTTGAGTTTCAGAGATGTTCTGTGTTCCTCATCTGTCTTATCAGTATGAGAGACCACACCTACCCTGACAGCTTGACAATTAATGGGCGGTTGAGGGGGGCTGAGAAGGGGGTGGAATAGAATATTACCAGTTCAGCAGTGTTTTGATCTTCAAACCTTATTAACTAGAGGGCAAATTTTATTCATATGTAAACCGTTTTGCTAATAAAATGACTAGAGCAGCTACGATTCTGTCTTTTCTCTTAGAGTCCACGATAACTGTAGTCTAGCGATATTTAGGGGATAGATAGAAAACAGCGATAGCACCTAGATTTCATGACATCTTACATGTGCTGTTAAATCATATATGAAATCGTAAATTTTCCCAGCACATATAAGAATTTGTAAAGAAAGTAAAGTGATTCGTTAATTGATTTCTTGAATACCAGGTACAATAAGCATGAAATGAGTATAGTTATCAGATAAATAATGAGCACTAAAAAGATCAACTTACAAGTTTTTTATTACTGAAGGGAACACCAGCAAATCTTTGTTTCTTTTTACTTGACATCGCCATTTTTCTATAAAATCTCTGAGAATTGCATTTCTTTGAAGGCCGTTTTCAAAATTATTCAATCGATTACGATATTCTTCTAGAAGGCTTGTCTTCTCATTTCGCAATTTTTCATTAACTCGTTCAATTTCCTCCAATGCCTTGGTAAGAGTTTGTATGCGCTGTTGTACTAATTCATTTGCTACCGTAAGTCTGGAAAAAGTAAAAAGCAAGACAGCTACTTACATAATAGGCTAATTTATTTTCTAGTAATGATAGTCGTATTAATCGTTCTTTCTGTGCAAATTTAGTTTGCTTCTTGAATTTTACTTAAAAAGGCTAAATATGAGATTATCTTGAAAATATCTTGGTAACATAAGCTATTTAATCTGATACTGGTGACATAGGCTACTCAGAAAACTCCTAACAATTTAATGTTCAATGAAATAATCTCTTCAGATAATTAATACCGTTAGAGTGTGTAAACGCAAACACGATTAAATAAATTTGTAATTTCTGATCCAGAGCTGAAATATTCCCTACTTCTTCACAATTAACCTTATTCTATCCGTCTAGTCAATTTCGAATCAACTGAACAGACAAGTACCATTTTTGAAAATGTTGTCTTGTGAGTGAATGTAGTTATACCTTAGCATAAAGCAGAGCTATCCACGAAAGATGAGTTCACTGAAAAAGTGTTATCGATTGCAAATATAGAAGTCTTGTATCTCCAAGATACTTTGTACATATACCAATATTTCTTCCGAAGGCAAAAAATTGCATATAACTAAATTCAAAAGCCGATCGAATCAAGAACAGTCTTGTTTAATCGTCCTCAACCAAAACGTAATGCCTCCAGTTATCTGTTTATCAATCCAGGGAGATAAATTGGAATAATTATTAAAAAATTGAGTTTTATACCGAGATCAATTACAATACTACCCACTTTATCACATATTGAACTTTATTGCTATCCCATTTCAACTGCTTTCTTTCAAGATAGAGTAGAACATTTTCGTTTTAACATTGGCTATAACAATATCTTTAAATAAATTAGTCATTTTCATTGACTTTGAAAAGCGTATGTGAATTTAGTTTACTAATTAAATCAAAACTTACTGATCTGTTTGCTGACTTTCCCGATATATAGTCTCCTCCAAGCGTTCAATATCAGCTCTAAGTTGATCGTTTATTTCTCTAATTTCATTGTTTTGCTTTGAAATACTCGCTTGGCGTTCCGTAAATTCTGAAATTCGGAAAACGATACTTAGTGATGGAAATGAACTTCACCGGCGAAAGTAAAACGTTGAATTATGTCTGGGTTTTGAAATACAACAATTATCTACTTATTTTATCTCGGTAGTAAAGAACATTTTCAAATAGCACTATTATGCTAGCAATAATAGCAACCATACGAGACATTGGATAATTACTTTAAAAGAATAAAATTCATTATGCATTCCAAAACAGCCTTGAAGGTTAGATACTTACTCTTAATTTTCTCCTGCTCTTCATTGATTCGGGTTGACATTCTGTTAACAGTAAATGCTATGGAAAATGTGAATAATAGAATTTTGCTTACAAATTTCGTGCACTATTTCTTCTAAATGAGCCATTGTTGTGTTTTTTCTATAAACGAAGCAGCGTTGAATAAATTATTATTCATGAAAGAAATAAAGTCATTATAAATCTATAAATACGTTCAAAACCAAAGGAAAACATTTTTCATAAATCCTACTAAAGCTTTATTTTTAAAGCAAAATCCCATACGCAGCAATTGAAAAGAAAGTCAAATTATTGCCTTTAAGGTAGGAAAATTTGGTAAACAAACAAACATTCATTAAGAGACTTTGATAATTACTTTGATTTTTCTATAACTAAATTCAGTTTTACGCATTTTAAGATTGCTTATTCTGTATATTATATATTGTGTTTTTTATGTATATTATTGTTAATATTCTAAATATTAACTAAATAAGTGGTCTGAGTAATTTAATAAGATATTTGCAGAGAAACAAATTTACTTACTCTGGTCTTATTCATCTTTCTACTTCAATTTTTATTTTATTTGTTTTGGATTGTAATTGCAATTACTACAAGTCCTCATAACTACTATCAAATAATGGTTAAAAATTTTCAAATATGAATTTCAAGACATTATTATGATCTACTAATGTGTATTATACCTTCTTAAGCTAATGGAAGGATGAAGATATTTTGCTTGCATATTTCTTCATTCCAAAGTATTCTTATTTAAAGTTAAACATCAATTTAAAAGAGTAACTCACAAACTAAAGGAAGCTTTCATTTCAAATTGCTATTTTACCAATCTTCGAAAGTGAATTAGTAAGTTGAACCAATTACAAGCAAGTTAATAATTTGTGGATGATTATTTGTATAATAATACGTTAGGACAATATTATTATTGATGAATTATTGGTGACGAATTGAATATTGTCGGGAAACTTGAGAATGAATGTAACTAGGATAAATTTTTCGAATCGTGAGCAATTTTATTGACTTAAATATTGACAGACTACAAGTATTTCACCAAAGGAGGCTATTATAAAAAATGTTTCAATTCAATATCATGCTGGTTTGAAATCATCACAGAAGATATATATATATGTATATGTATATGCTCCAGCTGACAATCAGCCTACCTTCAAGGACGTTGGAGTCGCTAGCACTTATCATACCATCCAAAGAATTTAAATTGTTTAAAATTTGCGAATTTCAGAAAAAAGCAACAACGGAGACAGTTAATCATTTAACTGATTCAAATTTGTTAGAAACAAGTCAAACTATAGAAAAGTAATGCTGTGAACATTTATACAAATTTAACATCAAACTACTTAAAATCAAATTGGATTTTATATTTCTGCTAAACAGAGGGCAAAGTGGTTCATAAGTAAATATATATTAAATAACTGTTACAAATCAAAGTATAATAAATTTGCCAACAGTGATAATTTTATATTCATATTGATATATATATATATATATATATATATATATATATATTCGGATGAAATGTGAATTTCTAAATAATACACCATTTGTTACAAATTTAATACAATGTCTTAGACAAAGAAATCATATTATTCTAAAAGCGTAAGTTATATCCTCTGCCAGTGATTACCATTAAGTTTAGTGCATATATTAGTGATAGATAGTAAACATCTTTCTTGTTTCTAGGTTAAATATACCGGATGTTGAAATTTCATTCACATTAGTTCACTTACCACCTAAAATCCGAATGAAAATAGTACAAATTAATGTTGTTAATCGAGGTTTAAGAAGGACCAATACTATGAGAACATTTTGAAAGCGATTCGCCTCGAAAAAATCACAAAGCGCCTAAGCTTGTAGAAAAGTCAGTCTGCACCAAGGTAGCATCATTCAGATAGTCAGGCACAATTTTACTTTAAAACAAATGCTAAATAACGTGGTAGAGTGGGCAATAAAGACTATTCGGAAAAGTCACTCCTTAGGTCAACATTTCACCGAATCGAAAGGTGTTAAGAGCTTGCTCAGTGAAATTATCCGAAAAAACCTCAAAATTGCTTTAAAGAATAGGGATTTATCGTTGATAATTTATTAAAAGTTGTTTTTTCCTCAAGACTTCTTTCGAGCCATTATCTACCAATGAGAATTAAATATAGGTTTTCACTAAATCATGTCCATGCAAGGCAATCAAGATGGCAGGGTTATCTTCGGTTTGCATTCTTTTATTGGCTAAAACTGTATAATATTCCAGTTTCTGTCTTCAAAATCGGATGAATGAAGTCAAGTGCTATTTGATCGCATCATCTCTATTTAACAACAAATAGTGCTCATATAGGAAAGTAAAATGAAGACATTCACATATTACCATTGTTTTACACAGGAAGTAAAAAATATGAATTCCATTCGAAACTAGTAAAACATGACCGATGCAATAATTGAATAATTCGAAAAAGATTAAATAAGCGTATAATTGAGTGAACAATAAAAGACATTTCTGCCTAATCAGTCTGTGGAACAGTCTGTACAGTCGTCTTATTCAAAAAAAAGGTTTTTGGAGCCATAAGCCACGAAATAAAACAAGAAGTTCTGTATTTTTCTCCCTTGGTACGTAAGTATTTAACATCGAAAACGATACGAACAGTGTAAGCTGTGCTAGATTAGATAGTAGCCTTGAGAAGTCTATTCAACAAAGTGAAGAATATGCTTTTCTATCACAAAGAAAGCGTAATTTGGACTTGTAGAGAATGGCAAAAGCCAATGAATTATGTTAACAGTTGTTAGATCGCTTCTAGTTGAATAAATTCGATTGCAATGGAGTTATATAGACTAAAAACGTAGTTATTGAAATTTGAATAAGACTGAAATGACACGAGTAACTACCTTAATATGCCTGACAATCTGGTTAGAAGAATAAGCTCCAAGGTTTCAACTGTTCCAAGGGATTTAAATGACACACAAGATCTCCCTATCGATACAATATGCCTATATTTTTATTATTATTATTATTTCAAATGACAGGCGTTTTGAATAGTTATCATTAGCCTTTTAGCTGACTTCGGGCTTCACAGCGGGAGAAGCATCAAAGCGAGAAAAATTCGAGAAGGGGAACAGAGGAGTGATTCACAGATGTAGAAGAGACAGACAGACACAAAGGTAGAGAAAAGGTGGGATGAGTACTGTGGAAGTTGTGGGATGCGACATACAGTGGGGTCAGGGTAGTTTGAAGTCAACTGCCGGTTAATAGACTTTTTGCCGAATGGGTATACATTAATGCAATATGCAAGCACACGAGTTTAGACAATTTCAAAACTGATCGACGAGGTTGGTCTAGTTCTCCTCGATTACTAATTCCTCGCATATTCTTGAATCGAATCACGAAATTCTAATTCGATGAATGTATCTATATAAGCCATGTATTCAATTTATTGGTGGTTATTTAACAGTAAATTCTTGATCATGCACATGATGACTGATTAATAATCTCATTTGATATGGCTGAATGTTGAAACGCTTTCATTTACGACTCTTGAATCTATTAGATATTTGGTTACTGTTTAAGTAGATTGATAAATTTTTCTCAGGCGCATATTAATTTATGCCTATCTGGTTTTTTCACAGGTAGGATGCGCTTTTAATATGAATTGCTAAGCCTGAAGTGAGATAATCGACATATCAATAAGTCGCCTTAATTTATCTTAAGGAAGTCACCGTGAATGTTCTACACGAAACCAACAGTTTTGCTCCCTCTTTGAGCTGAAATACAGGCATATTATGTGTGCCCCAATAATTGCTCGAGTAAAGATATCTCTGAAGATAGAATCAAATTTAAACCCCATTAAATCTTAAGCATGCTCCACGATTTGACATCTAACTCAACTAATAGCAGTACTTGGAAAAGTCGATTTTTTAATATTAAGCCTAAGTAAAAAGATCAACGAACATCAAAGATTCATCTAGATATAGGAAAAGTGAGGCTTCGAATCTGCAACGTTGTGCATTTAAATTTATCGGAATAAAGTTGAAATGATAAATTTCACTCGTTATAGGCATATGTAATTCAGTAATTCCTTAATTAAAGGGAAGAAAGCAGTATGGTAGTCAAGAGGGTGATGACAGTGATGACGGTGATGATGATAATGCTAAACAACACATGTTGACTGTAAGCGATGCGACATGGTACATTGGTCCAGAGTGCTGCCATCTCAACATATTCAATAATTGCTATATATATCTTAACGGGTTGAAGGCAGATCATTAAAACTAATAGGAACAACCTAAATCCTAGAAGAGCGGCATCCTTAATACCCGATTTTACAATCGGTTCATGGAATATACCTAATTCCAATATAGTCTAAATTGACAAAATGTCCAGAAAATTGTGATTTCAAATGTTAAATGCAGTAGATTATGAAGTGTAACCATTTCAGAGATGTTTATTTCAGATAAAGTAGGTCACCTGTAGACTACGAGACCTCAAGGCCATTGAGCTTTTCATTATCACGTGCTAAGCAATTTAAAACCCGTAGGTGTGGTTTCTCAGGTGCCTATTTATCTGACCACCTTACGCCCTCGATATCCAGTCAATTTATCGTGCCGAAATTCTGGTAGTTCCAGACTGGGCTGGACTTTGAGAGTCACTTGCATTTGACATACTCCTTTTCCTATAAATAAAGTAAAATGTGTAATAAATCGTCTTGAATAATGATGCACCCTTCCCCCCACTTCCCTTCAACTTAATGTGTGCTATCTTTCTCCAAAGTTCAAATTATTGTAGAAAAATGGTTGAAAATGAAGACCTATATGAAAGAACGTCAACTAAGACCACTATTTTTAAGGGAGGTGTGGGCGATAGAATTACCTCCACGTGGTGCAACCTGGGCAACGCATACTCATACGTCAAAAAAGTCTATTAGCCGGCAGTTGACTTCTAACTTCAAACTACCATCACTCCGATGTACGCCATATTAAACTACTTCCACAGTATCCACCTCACCTTTTTCCGCCTTTGTGTCTGTCTGTCTC